CCTGCGCTGGAGACGAGCTGCGCGGATCCAGTCGATCAACACCTCAGTGACATCACCCTTGCTGCGCAAGGGGAAGACTGTGGTGTAACGCGAGTAGTCGTCAACCACCAGCAGGAAGTAGCGCTCGTGACCCTGCCCACGGACGCGGGCGGGGCCCCACACGTCCATGTGAAGCGTCTGCAGAGGAGCCTCTGTCGGGGGAAACTGGGAGGAGTGAGGGGCAGCCCGGAGCCGCCCCTCGACACAGGGGACACAAGAAGGTCCGGGTCCCGAAGGAAGGGGAGGGAGAGACCGGGGAAGACCAGAGACAAGGACACGGGAAGCCATGCCCCGAAGACGAAGCAAGGAGGGGTGGCCAAGACGGTGGTGCCACAGGAGAGTCTCGTGAGACAGGCGGCGACACGAGCAGGGGGCAGACTCAGGACCAGACCTGGACGCAGCAGCAAACACCTGACCCGACGCAGCTACCTGGCCAGACGCAGGGACAGGAGGAGACGCAGTGGTCAGTGTGTAGAGACTCGACCCTGGCCGACGCGAGAACGTGGCCAGGTGTCGGCCTATGCGGGCATCCGAGCAGTGGGTCACCCGCTGACTCGCAGGAGTAAACTGGTGAACCCCCGCATCCTGCAGGTCAGCACCACTCACCAAGTTCGTCGAGAACGAGGGGAGGTACAGACCAGACAAGGTGCCCGAGGGGGCAGCCGGACACGGGAGGACAGTGGAGAAGTGAGAGAGGACAGGACCCCCAGAGGGGTCAGCCAGGGAGACTGCAACCGGCCGGCCAAGCGGCGTGAGTGTGGTGCGGTCTCGAAAGAAGGAGCGAGAAGCCCCTGAGTCAAGTGTGAAGGTGAGGGAGGCCGAAGCCGACGCAGTACCTGAGAGCGCAGCCTCACCAGTACCTGAGAGTGCAGACGCACTGGCACCTAGAGCAGCAGCCGCAGAAGTACCTGGCGCAGCAGTACCAATGCCCGGGTCGGGCGGGAGACACTGGTAACAGTCACCCTCCTCACTAATAGTCACAGCATACATGGCAGCAAGGATAGCATCAAAGTCAAGATCAAAGACAGCTACGCCAGCCCTAGACAGCTCTCCCCAACGGGGAATCTCACTGGCCTCGGGGAACTGCTGACGCCAAGCGTCCGTCAGGCGGGCAAAGCAGCGCTGGGTGGTGTGGGCACCCCCACACTGCTCACCCGCGCGGTCGCCGGAACGAAGGACGTAGGTGCACGGACCAAAACCCCCACCCCGCTGACGCTGCGTGTACCACTCACGGAGCTGCTGGGGCGGGGGGATGTCCCGCGAACGCTGCTGCTGCTGCTGCTGCTGCTGACGCTGGCCACCACCAGGGCCGCTACGCTGCGGGGCACCACCCCGACCAGCTCCACCCCCTCCGCCACCGCTGCCTCCACCTCCACCACCACCGCTGCCTCCGCTCCCACCGCTGCCGCCACCGCCGCCTCCTCCTCCGCTGCTGCCACCTCCACCACCGCCCCCGCCACCACTCCCACCGCCACCCCCACTCCCTCCTCCGCCTCCACCGCCTCCTCCACCGCCCCCGCCAGCTCCACCCGCGCCCTTGCCCCCCTTGCCCCTGCCAGGGCGGCGTCTCCCGCTAGGGGCAGACGCCGCGCAGACCGACTCAAGACCAAGCAGGTCGGCAGCAGCAGCAGAGGCAACAGAGGGCAGCAGGGGGGAAGGAGAACACCCCTCAAAGATGGGGGTGCGAGGGTCACCACGAGAGGCTCCTACAGCGACGATGCTCTTCTCCGCCGCCAGGAGGGACTTCTCGAGGAGGTCGACAGTGAGAGTGGTGGGACAGACCGAGAGGTAGTGGTCCCTGACTACGCGAAGGGAGTCAGGGAGGCGTGTGACGATGTAATAGAGAGTGATGTACATGGGGGGGGGGTTCTTGGCGCAGAACTCAGCAGGAAGGGCGGCGCGGTAGCGAGTGTCACTAGTGCGGAGGTGCGTAATGAGGTCAGCGACAGTGGGAAAGGCAGCAAGGTCAGGAAAGAGGTACGGTAGCATGAGGCGGCTCAGGGCAGCAGTGGCAGGGGAAGAGTAGCGCGCAACTACAGCGTCGTACAAGGTCTGAGCACTCTTGTACTGACTAAAGTGCGCGCGCTCAGTGGTAGGCAGGTGGCGACGCACAGCAAGACGTGCAGCAGCATCGCGGGTGGCCCACTGAGAGCGAACAGTGGGGTCAGCATCAGTAGCAGGGGCAGGAGAGGCGCCAGAGGTGAGGTCAAAGAGGGAAAGACCGTCCGCCCTATCGCACTGTAAGAACAGCTGCAGGTCGTCGACCCAGACCTCAAAGTCAATGGCTCGACCCTCAGCGTCAAAAGCGAGGACACTAGGGGTAGCCATGACGACGACAGACGAGCAGTGCAAGCAGTAGGGGAAGGGCACGCAGTGACAGTGGGGCTGTGCTCACCGGACAGGGCAGGTCGGGCGGCCCGGCAGTAGGGCGGCTCGGCTGCTCAGCGGCTCGGCGGCAGTGCGGCTCGGCGCCCGGGCGGCTCGGCGGCAGGGCGGCTCGGCTCCCGGGCGGCTCGGCGGCAGGGCGGCTCGGCTCCCGGGCGGCTCGGCGGCAGGGTGGCTCGGCTCCCGGGCGGCTCGGCGGCAGGGCGGCTCGGCTCCCGGCGGTTCTGCTGCTAGGCGGCTCCCGCAGGTAGGGCGGCGGTTGGGCCGCAGGTAGGGCGGCGGTCGGGCCGTAGGTAGGGCAGCGGGCTGGCCGCAGGTAGGGTGGCGGGCGGGCCGCAGGCAGGGCGGCGGTAGGGCCGCAAGTAGGGCGGCGGGCGGGCCGCAGTTAGGGCGGCGGGCGAGCCGCAGGTAGGGCGGCGAGTAGGCCGCAGGTAGGGCGGCGTGGGGCCGGGACGGGCGGCGCGCGGGCGTCGAGGGGCCGGGACGGGCGGCGCGCGGGCGTCGAGGGGCCGGGACGGGCGGCGCGCGGGCGTCTAGGGGTCGGGCCGGGTGGCGCGCGGGCGTCTAGGGGCCGGGACGGGCGGCGCGTGGGCGTCGAGGGGCCGGGACGGGCGGCGCGCGGGCGTATAGGGGCCGGGACGGGCGGCTCACGGGCGGCGAGGGGCCGGGACGGGCGGCGCGCGGGCGTTGAGGGGCCGGGACGGGCGGCGCGCGGGCGTCGAGGGGCCGGGACGGGCGGCGCTCGGGCGTCTAGGGGCCGGGACGGGCGGCGCGCGGGCGTCTAGGGGCCGGGACGGGCGGCGCGCGGGCGTCTAGGGGCCGGGCCGGGTGGCGCACTGGCGTCTAGGGGCCGGGACGGGCGGCGCGCGGGCGTTTAAGGGGCCGGGACGGGCGGCGCGCAGGCGTCTAAGGGCCGTGACGAGCGGCTAAAGGGGCCACTAGGGGCCAAGAGAGAGGGGAGCGCGACTCGGGTAGGGGCAGAGTGCGCTCCGGGCAGGAAAAAAAAAAAACGGTGGGCCCTAGGAACAGTTCCCACGAGGGAACCTGCTCGATACCATGAGAAAAGTAGAACGAGAATGAATGAACTATGAATGAAGTGAGTACATATAGGAAACCCTAATTGGGTTGTACCCCCTATGGGATACCCCACTATAGCCTACACAACAGCATAAGCTATATATATGTTCTGACACGCACTCCAAGACGGACCAGGAAGGGAGGAGTGTCTGGATCCCAGTGGCGGCAATTCCTGGCCCATACTGCCCGGTGAGGTGCACACGCAAATTCATACGCATCGCAGGCCTCACAAAGATGCCACATGGACCGCTGATAAGGGTTTTCCCAAAGAACTCGCAAGCCACACCGAACGACAACTCGCCATCCTACGTCACGATCAGAAACTGGTGTCTCGCGGCCGGCAGGCATGCTGGACTGGATGTCGCGCACATCGGAACCCACTCATTTCGCAAAGGTGCAGCCACCGCGGCGGCAAGCCTCGGAGTTCCCGACCGGCTCTTCAAACGCATGGGCCGATGGCGCAGCGACAACGCGAAAGAGATGCACGTTACAATCGCGCAGGATCAGCTCATCTCCCTTTCCACGCAGTTGCAGGATCCTTCGACGGCTCCCTCACCCGCCACGCATCAGCTATCAATCGAACGGCACCGCCAGCCCCGACTGCACTTGCCTCAGAAGACCCATATGAAATGATAACGCTGTCTTTGCAAGTCAGCCTAAGTAGACTTTCACAATATGATAATTTTTGAAAGTGTAATGAAATGTAACACTTTCTAAATTTTTGTATTGTGAAAAGGGGTACGTGGCCAACACAGCAAAGGTAGCGCCGAAGCGCTACTCACCCTCTTTTGCCTACAAAAGAGGGACGTGGGGACATTCGTCCCCACCCACGTTTTCATTTCCGAAATCGTAGTTCTAATTTCCCACCCGCCCACCCATTTGTGTATGTTGTTATAAAGACATATATATGACGAGAACGATGTACTACAGCCCATATGAAATGATAACGCTGCCTTTGCCATATGAAATGATAACGCTGCCTTTGCAAGTCAGCCTAAGTAGACTTTCACAATCCCTTGTAACCATATAAAAGGCTTGTATCTCCTTGCTATTATCAACTTATCATGTTCTCACACACTAGTACAAGGTGGTTCAGCAACTCTGATATTAAACGCTTCCGCAATTACAACATTCCTAATTCAACCACAGATCTTAGCCTTGAAAAATCCTAAGGGCTTTTTCTCAGCCCAACACCAGCAAGAAAACCAAGGTACATTTTCATCCATACACCCTCTTTAGACAAAATGCTAAATTATTTGTTGGACACATGACGTGCTTGCCGTTGCCACACTATACTTCTAAATATCTTGCACATGGGAGGCACGACATAGAGTCCAATCAGTCCTCCTTTATTACCTAAATTTCCAATTGGAAACGTGTGCATCAGCGAGGGTTGCATACACAGGATGATACACTGCAACCACTTTTATAAGCACTGTTCAGTGGTAAGGGCGTATTGATAAAAAAACAAGACAAACCATTTACAGTAGTGCCCGTTGTTAAGGTCGTGCTGCATAATTTGATCTTGGCACATATCGCACATTGTTGCTCTCGCAAATAGACTGCACCAAACGGCACCAGTGGTAGCAGACCGAACAGTTCTCAATAAGACAAAGAGAGGGGGCACACACACACACACACACACACACACACACACACACACACACACACACACACACAAAAGACAAGGGGTGGAAAGTGATGGGAGAGGGGGAAAGGGAACGAGAGAAGGCAAAACAGTTCCCATGGGCATTTTGAGTCATAACATTTGTGGGGTTCCTACACACTGGGCATGCAACCACAGTCATGCGTTCTTGAGACTGTTCCCTGACCAGCGAAATGACACTGAACTACATGAATACCAACCTCACCTCTCTCCCCCTGTCCCCCCCCTCCCCCCGTCCTTCCGTTATGCAGTCCCCTCTCTCACCCCCTCCATGTTATGTCTTTCCTAAAAGGTGGGTGTCTGGCACGGACCTGAAGGTCGTCTGTGAGGTTGCCTGTCACCGATATGGCATAGCACCCTGGGGCAGCCCGACCTACAAGCCAGAGGGAAATGGAAGATCAGAGTGGAATGGTATAAGTTCCAGGATTTGCAAATCAGGTAAAAACCTTTGTGGAAGCATGCATGGAAAATGTTGAGAAAGGGTCATGCGATCTGTTTCCCTGGAAATGAAGTAACGCAGAGTAAAAGGGATCCCTGCAAAGTGAAAACTTACTTATTCTGAGCCAACGTGCTGCCCAGCTTCCAGCAGGATCCATGCAGGAAATGATGCTGTAGGAAAAGAGGGGGAAAGGAGGGGGGAGGGAAATGGTACATGACAAAAAACGGGTGTCAGAAGGCAGAAGGTGAGAAGAGAATGATTCTTGCAGGAAAGATGGAACAGGAACGGAAGTACAGAAGGGAAGAGCATACAGACGAGCTAAGGCAGGAAGCAATAGCAGTGTGGTGAAATAGAAATGGGGTGTTCCAAGCGGCAAGGGTATTTCAATTGACAAGGACGTTCTAAACGCCAAGGACAAGCCAAGAAGCAAGGATGGGTTACTAAGAGACCTGGACCGAAAGGACGCGTTACCACCAGTCACCAAGAAGCAAGGACTGATTACCAAGAAGCAAGGTCGCGTTACCAAGAAGTTGGGTCGGGTTATCAGGAGCAAGGACGGGTTACCACGAAGCAATGACGGTTTACCCTGAGAAATTGGCTGTCGTGGCGTCCTTCACTCTCTCCTCGTCACCATCCATCTCGAAAAACGGACAATTCTCGCACCCGCTCGCATAGAACTGCATATCGTTGTGGTTTCGAGCACAGGCACAAGACGTGGTACATGAACAAGAAGAAGCAGCACGGCGGTGTAAGCGTGAGGAGAGAGGCGGAATGGACGGAGGAGGAACAGTCGCGGGACAACGAAGGAGAGTCAAATCGATTCAAGCATACGCCGATTGACAGTCGCAGGTAGACATCATCAGGGTGTGGAACGGAAACGGGGTCAAACGCGTTTCGAGCCATACATCCTGCTTTCATTTCCACTCCACGTGACCGCCTCACCGCCAAGCTCTAAGGATCAGAGCGCGGGAAAACGCTCTGCATCTGCTCCCCTACCTGGTCGTATGTTTTTAACAGCGAGCACCGAAGGCACGCCCGCAAATGCCGACCCACGTCTGTCGGAACCTCGGCCGCATTCGCCATGCGTTGAGATAGACCTCGCTAACCGACTCAAACGATCCCTCGCGCAAACCTCGAGCAGGCCTGGGCAGGCTACGAGAAAACCACGAGCGAGAACAACCCCCTTTCCAGCGGGTTCTGCGTCTGCTTCCCCTCGCTCCGGTATCCTTCAATCTTGATTGGATCAAGTCGGAGCCACGTGGTACCCTAGCGGGTACGAGGCTGAGTTGTTCAGGCTAAGCTGGGATTCAGAAGGATTCCTCGGGCAAATAGAGTCTACATACCATAAGCGCTGACATCCCGTCCCAGAAACAAGGGATTCAGGGCGAACGGTGGTTGCGGTGAAATAAAGCCGTGGTGGCCCGAGTGTGACATCCAATGTCTAGGGCGTGTTCTAGACGTTTCTGTAAAGAACATGTCGAAAACGGTTTCACAGCACCTTCTCAGGTTAAATTACCTCCTATGATATCTCAAGTTAGTTGTTGTAAAAGGCATTAACAATACCCAGAAATAATAATCGATAATGCCAAAACTATCTTGAATTGTTTTGAACCATGTTGCGGATTGGCGTTACGTGTGCAATTGAACGAGCAAGCGATTTAATGCACCATTGGGCCACAAATCACAATATGAGTGAATGCATGAATTAATATTTACAGTCATCGAATAATAACAATAACAAATGAATCAATGGGGTGTTCCACGTACCTATTGTCAAGGTTTGGGGTTAATAACGTAGGACCCGACCGTGAATTATCGGCCGAGGTGTATGGCTCCGATAAGATGGCGCAAAATGGTAACCGGACAAAATGGTTATAAGCGGTGTATGCAGTGTTGTATACGATATGCGAGGTGGCATGAAGTAAGGAAAAGGTGTACTGATGTTCCTATTGACGGGAGTTGGCCGCGCCCTCGCTTGGGCAGAGCCGACTTTGTGGTTGGGTGCACGAGAGGTGCAGCCGATCGTATGCAGTGGGCGACGCCGACTTGGTCGAGCAGGTTGATGAGATTTGTCGACCTGCGGGGGCCACTGCGAGGCCGTCGACGAGAGAGGTCGATGGACGACTTCGACTTGGGTGGTCGACGTGCCCGTCGAAGGGTGCTGGTCAACGGGCTCGTCAAAGAGTGTTGTTCGACGGAGCAGCGTCGAACTGGTCGAGAGGAGCCACTCGACGGCAAAGCCTGGCCGGTGTGCGAGCTTCGCCGTCAAAGGCATTGGACAAAACAACCTATGGGCTGGTATTCCGAGGTCGATGCGGAGCATCTGGAGCGATCGCCGGCACGTGGCCAGCCCGGCGCCTACGCGACAGACGGGACGAGGCACAGCGTGCTCGACCATCCACAAGCACCTGTGAAGCGAGTGCGCGTGCACACTATTATCACATGCGGATGCAACTCTGGCAAGCCACCTTGCTGCAGCGTTGGCAAACCACACTAGTGCAGCGCTGGCAGGTCGTCGACTTGCAATGTTGGCAAGCCGCCTCCTAGCTGTGTTGGCACGCCGTCGACCTACTACGCTGGCAGGCCGCCCCTGTGCTGCGCTGGTGGTCGACCTGCCTGGTCGCTAGGCTACTAGGTCCCAGATGTAGTCACTTTTGTCATTGCAATTGTCACTTTTGCCATTATGTATTCTCGTTTTGCTAGTGAAACTCTGGCCAGATTGCTTCGTGAACGCAAGTAGTAAGAATACAAGCAAAGCTACGATCACTCAACCCACCCGTGCCTTCACCCATACCTCAGCTCCCACCCTTGTAGAATGACTCTTCGCAGTTCCGTACGTTGATGATTTGGTGCTGCTCGTTGAGAAATCTGCAGACCTTGACGTGATATGCACTCGTCCCAACCTCGCCTTGGCATGGGCGGCCGCCAAGCGTGTTCTCCGTTATCTTCGCGCTACCTACGATTCTCACCCTCACTCACGGTAGCACTGTCCCCCCTGGCCTTTCGAGTTACAGCAACTCCTCCTGGGCCGACTCTCGCTCTGACTGCTATTCCTCTTAGGGGTTCCGCTTTGTTCCTCTTAAGGGTATGGCTCAGTTCCTCTTGTCAAACATATATGCTTAGTTATATCTAGGCTTAGTTTATGTGTTTATAGTTGTCTAGGCTATAGTGGGTTTAGCCTTAGGGGGGTACAGATTTCTCTTGACATTCTACTTGTACCCCTTCCCTTTTCCTAGTCAATCATTCTCGCTCACTATTCTCACATGGTATTAAGAGCAATACCTTCCTAGGATCCTAACTTTAATGGGCCCACCACCTAAGTAACTGCTAGCCTAGGCCCTGTGGCGTCGCCCATAGCCCCTAGGCTCGGCCCCTTGGCCCGTCGCCCCTAGGCTCGGCCCCTTGGCCCGTCGCCCCTAGCTCGGTCCCTCGGCCCCGTCGCCCCGTCGATTTCGTCGCCCGCGCCCGGCCCGTTCCTAGCCCTGCGATCGGCCCGTACCTAGCCTCGCGCACGGCCCCGTTCCTAGCCCCGCGATCGGCCCGTACCCGCCCCGCGATCGGCCCGTACACTTCCCGCGCTCGGCCCTGTTCCTAGCCCCGCGCCCGGACTGTACCTAGCATCGCGACCGGCCCGTACCCTGCCCGCGCACAGCCCCGTCTCTCGTCCGCGCTCGGCTCGTACCTAGCCCCGCGCCCGGCCAGTACCTAGCCCAGCGCAAGGCCCCGACCCTAGCCAGCGCCCGACTCCGTACCTAGCCCGCGCCCGGCCCCGTCTGTCGCCAGCGCCTGACTCCGTACCTAGCCTCGCGCCCGGCCCCCCGTCCTTCGCCCAGCGCCCGACCCCATCTCTTGCCCGCGCTCGGCCCCGTACCTAGCCCCGCGCCCGGCCCCATTCCGCGCCCAGCGCCCGGCCCCGTCCCTGCCCAGCGCCTGGCCCCGTACCTGCCCAGCGCCCGGCCCTGTACCTGCCCAGCGCCCGGCCCCGTACCTGCCCAGCGCCCGGCCCCGTACCTGACCTGCGCCCGGCCCGTTGTTTGGCCCCTCGGCCCCCCCTAGGCCCCTCGGCCCCCCCTAGGCCCCCCCCCCCGGCCCCTTGTTTGGCCCTGTGGCCCCTAGGCCCCTAGGCCCCTCGGCCCCACCTCATAGCCTGGCGCCCGGCCCCCCGGCCCCTTGTTTGGCCCCTCGGCCCCCCTAGGCCCCTCGGCCCCCCTAGGCCCCCCGGCCCCTTGTTTGGCCCCGCGGCCCCTAGGCCCCTCGGCCCCACCTCAGAAACCGGCACCCGGCCCCCTGGCCTCTTGTTTGGCCCCTCGGCCCCCTAGGCCCCTTGGCCCCCCCTAGGCCCCCCCCGGCCCCGTGTTTGGCCCCGCGGCCCCTAGGCCCCTCGGCCCCGCCTCAGAGACCGGCACCCGCCCCCCCGGCCCCTTGTTTGGCCCCTCGGCCCCCTAGGCCCCTCAGCCCCCCTAGGCCCCCCGGCCCCTTGTTTGGCCCCGCGGCCCCTAGGCCCCTCGGCCCCACCTCAGAGACCGGCACCCGGCCCCCCGGCCCCTTGTTTGGCCCCTCGGCCCCCTAGGCCCCTCGGCCCCCCGGCCCCTTGTTTGGACCTTCGGCCCCCCTAGGCCCCTCGGCCCCCCCTAGGCCCCCCCGGCCCCTTGTTTGGCCCCGCGGCCCCTAGGTCCCACGGCCCCACCTCATAGCCCGGCGCCCGGCCCCCCGGCCCCTCGTTTGGCCCCTTGGCCCCCTAGGCCCCTCGGCCCCCCCCTAGGCCCCCCGGCCCCTTGTTTGGCCCCGCGGCCCCTAGCCCCTCGGCCCCACCTCAGAGACCGGCACCCGGCGCCCCGGCCCCTTGGTTGGCCCCTCGGCCCCCTAGGCCCCTCGGCCCCCCTAGGCCCCCCGGCCCCTTGTTTGGCCCCGCGGCCCCTAGGCCCCTCGGCCCCACCTCAGAGACCGGCACCCGGCCCCCTGGCCCCTTGTTTGGCCCCTCGGCCCCCTAGGCCCCTCGCCCCCCCCCTAGGCCCCGCCTACCCCTTGTTTGGCCCCGCGGCACCTAGGCCCCTCGGCCCCGCCCCTCGGCCCCGTGTGATTGGCCCCCGGGCCCTTTGTTTGGCCCCGCGGCCCCTAGGCCCCTCGGCCCCACCTCAGAGACCGGCACCCGGCCCCTTGGTTGGCCCCTCGGCCCCCCGGCCCCTCGTTTGGCCCCTCGGCCCCCTAGGCCCCTCGGCCCCCCGGCCCCTTGTTTGGCCCCTCGGCCCCCTAGGCCCCTCGGCCCCCCTAGGCCCCCCCGGCCCCTTGTTTGGCCCCGCGGCCCCTAGGCCCCTCGGCCCCACCTCATAGCCCGGCGCCCGGCCCCCCGGCCCCTTGTTTGGCCCCGCGGCCCCTAGGCCCCTCGACCCCACCTCATAGCCCGGCGCCCGGCCCCCCGGCCCCTTGTTTGGCCCCTCGGCCCCGCCCCTCGGCCCCGTGTGATTGCCCCCCCGGCCCCTTGTTTGGCGCCGCGGCCCCTAGGCCCCTCGGCCCCACCTTAGAGCCCGGCGCCCGGCCCCCCGACCCCTTGTTTGGCCCCTCGGCCACCTAGGCCCCTCGGCCCCCCTAGGCCCCCCCGGCCCCTTGTTTGGCCCCGTGGCCCTTAGGCCCCTCGGCCCCACCTCAGAGCCCTGCGCCCGGCCCCCTGTTTGGCCCCTCGGCCCCTATGGCGTCGCTTCGAGTTCTCCCGTTCGACCCAGAAGGCAGACCTGTAGCATTTGACACGTGGCACGACGATCTGCAACTGTACCTACTGAGCGATAGTCGGGACAGTGACTCACTGTTTGACCACGTGTTCGGTGCCGCTCCAGCCCCTCCCGCCACAGCTGACGTTTCGACTCGTTCCCAGTGGCTGTCTCGTGACGCTACTGCCCGCTTGGCCATTCGCAACCACCTGCCCGCAACCGAATGTGCTCACTTTGGCGAGCACAGGACAGCACAGGCCTTGTACGACGCTGTCGTTGCTTGCTACTCCTCCCCTGCCACTACTGCTATTGGCAGGCTGCTACTGCCCTACCTGTTCCCTGAGCTGTCGGCTTTTGCCACAGTAGCGGACCTGGTTA